TCTGTCCTGATCGATTATGCTGACGAATATGGCATTATCGATTTAAGTCGGATTGTAGATAAGTTTGGAGAATATCTCCTTTGCGAGCTCGGTATATGATTTTCCTTCACGGTTTAATTTTTGGTATATCTTATAACTTATATTTTGATCTTTGGCTCTTTTATGCAGTTAGCATGACGAGCGCTGAGTACAAGAAATTTCTGCCAAAGCCCAGGAAGACTTCTAAAGGAAAGGCCAAAGAAGTCCCCTCCTCCGAGGTTGAGACCTCGAAGAAACGGCGGCTCGATGCCGTATCCGGCGGCAGCTTGGTGGGTGATGAGGTGATTTAGTTGATGTTTCTGCTCCTCATTTTACTCCCTCGTCATCTCCACTCCACCTCCTCTCAATGTTCCTTAGGGGGACATGATCGTCTTGGAACTTGAGGAGCTGTGGAAGGTCGGAGTTTCGGACCGGCTTAGAGCTTCTCTGAAGCCTCCTCAGCATCTCATGGACGATTCGACCCTGACTTCTGATCTAAGGTCCATGATAGCTCGGCTGGAAGAGGATGCTTTGAAGACGACTTCCTTGCTCCAATCCTTCCAGGACCTTCATCAAAGGCTCGATCTGTCTGCTGCTTCCAACTGGTCTCTCACTATTAAGGTGGAGGAGCTTTTGGGGAAGTATGATGAGCTCAACAAGTCCAAGTCTGAGCTGGAGACAAGAGTTCGAGAATTATCTTCAGAGCTGGACGAGGTGAAGAAGGCTTCAGCGTCAGTTAAGGCCAGTGCAGAAAACTTGAAAATAGAGAAGGAGACCCTCTCTAAGTCTTTGACTGACAAGGATGCTCAAATCCAAAAACTGCAAGCTGACTTTGATGAGGCTCGAGCTGTGATCGTGAATGCTACTACTGGGGCCTTTGCCAATTCTATTGCTCAAGCCCAGGTTCTAATCCCTGCCCTTATTACTGAAGGGATGGACGTCTCGTACGACGTGAAGGACGGCGCCATCGTTCCCGGGACTCTGGGTTCCGAGTCTGATGAGGAGGAGGAAGCCGAAATCGAGGTCAATGAAGCCGCGATTCATCGTGATGCAGAATGAAGAAGTCGGTATGCCGACTTTTATGATGTAACCTTTACTTTGGGGATTTGATCCCTTTTTTAATCTTGTATGAAATTTTTTTCCTCTGTATGTCGGCTTTTTGACTTGAAATTTATTTTGTTTTTATATTTCCGAGATCGTTGCTTTGATTTACTTCCCGTTTTAATCACGTTGTGGGGTTCAATTTCGACCTCGTTTTGTTGCGTTTCGACTTATACTTGCCGAGCTGCGAGGTTATTTTGATCTATTTGGAATATCTTTTAGTTCGTCAACGAAAAGTATTCTTTGTTAAGCTCTAGGGCTTTTATTGCGCCAATAGAAATCGATATGCATTAGGATTGAGGTCAACGCTCATATTATTTGCATTTGAATGAAATCTATTTACATGGCCGAGCTTAAAAACTCATCTTATTTGCTTAGAAATAAATCTACCTACTGACTGAGCTCAGGAGCTCATCTTATTTGCGTAGAGATAAATCTACCTACTGACTGAGCTTAGGAGCTCGTCTTATTTGCATGGAATTAAAATCTATTCACAAATTCTCGAGAGTCGGACTTCAGGCCTAGCTGTAGTAGGCCTTCAGCTTGTCCGCGTTCCAAGTTCTCTTCACCGGCTTCCTAGAGATGGTTTCCAAAGTATAGGCTCCTCTTCCCAAGTTTTTGTTAACTCTGTAGGGCCTTTCCCAGTTCGCGGCGAGCTTTCCATCTCTGGCATTTTTGTTGCAATGTGTTCTCTTCTCAATACCAAGTCGTCGTTCTGGAATGATCGAGGTCTGACCTTTTTATTAAACCTGACCACCACCAGACATTTTGCCATCATGTTCTTATATCTGGCATTCTCCCTACTTTCATCTAGTAGGTCGAGCTCTACAGCTAATGCTTCGCTGTTCTGCTCCTCCGTCCCTTGTAGTTTTGCACCCTCCTCTAGGAAGGTTCTCCGATTTCTACTGGAATCATGGCCTCACACCCATATGTCAGCTTAAAAGGAGTTTCTTCCGTGGCAGATTGGGCACTTGTTCTATATCCCCATAAGACGAGGTGTAACTGCTGCACCCAATTTCCCTTAGCGTCAAATAGCCTTTTCTTGAGGCCGTTGATGATCACCTTATTAGCTGACTCGGCTTGTCCATTTGTCTAAGGATGCTCTACTGATGCGAACCAGTGTTTGATCTTGAAGTCAGCCATTAACTCTTGGAATTTCTTGTCAGCAAATTGTGTTCCATTGTCTGTAAAGGTCTCGACTGGAATTCCAAATCAGCTGATCAGGTTTCTTTCAAAGAACCTTTGAATCCTTGCAGAGGTTATGGTGGTGAGAGGTTCAGCCTCAATCCATTTAGTGAAGTAGTCCACCGCCACTATCAACCATTTGAGCTTTCCTTCGGCTGCAGTAAAGGGTCCTAGCAAGTCCATCCCCCATTTGTAGAATGGCCAAGGTGCTGTGATGGTTTGCAGCTCTTCAGGCGGTGCACAAATGACGAGTGCATGCTTCTGACATTGTTTGCATCTTTTGACATGCTCTTTCGCATCCGCTTCCATAGTAGGCTAGTAATATCCTGCCCTGAGTGCCTTCCTGGCTAAAGCTTTTCCTCCCATATGATGTCCATTAATGCCTTCATGGATCTCGGCCAAGGCGTATTTAGCCTTATTTTTATTTAAGCACTTAATCATGGGTGTATAGAAACCCATTTTGTAAAGATGCCCTTCTACTATGGTGTAGCAAGCCGAGCTCCTCACGAATTTTCTGGCCTCCTGTACCTCCTTAGGGAGAGTTCTTTTCTCGAGGTATGCTATTATTGGCCTTCTCCAATCTTCGTTCTCAGTTATAGCCATCACGCAAGTTGGTTCTGGGATGCTCTGCTGTATCACCGTTCGATGGTTTCCTGCGCCCTTCGAGCTGGCGAGTTTTGACAGAATGTTCGTCCTACTATTTTCATTTCGGGGTATGTACTGGATCACCACATCATCGAACTCGGCTAGCAGTTCCTTAACTTGCTGAAGATATTTCATCATGAGGGGTCTCTTGGCTTGATACCTTCCTTCGACTTGCGAGGTCACCAACTGCGAGTCACTAAGTATTTTTATTCTTCTTGCTCCGTGCTCCTTTGCCTGCACAATTCCTGCAATGAAGGCCTCATACTCAACCTGATTATTTGAGGTCGAAAAATGCAAGGTGAAGTGAGTGTTCAATGGGCACTCCCTCCGGGCTTTCTATAATGACCCCAGCTCCACTTCCCTTTGAGTTTGAGGATCCGTCAACGTATATTGTCCAAAGGTCCTCATTTTTTTTCCTTTGGATGAGGTAAGTTCCAAGACGAAGTCGGCCAATGCTTGGGAATTGATTTCTTGCTGAGGCTCATACGACATGTCGAACTCCGAGAGCTCAACGACCCAATTGATCATCCTTCCAGCCAGGTCCAGCTTATGTAGCACTTGCTTGATGGGCTGGTTGATTCTTACGACCACTCGATGTCCTTGAAAGTAAGGTCGGAGCCTTCTTGCCGTAGTAAGCAAGGCGAATGCTACATTTTCAAGCTTCTGATACCGAAGTTCAGGTCCTTGCAATGTCCGCCCTACAAAGTATATCAGATGTTGACCCTTGTTAGTCTCCCTTACTAGGGCGGCGCTAATGGCCTCGTCTTCCACAGAGAGATATAAGATCAACGTCTATCCGGGCTCTGGCTTTGACAACACAGGTGGGGGTGGCTAGGCACCTTTTTATTTCTTCAAATGCCCTTTGGAAGTCTTCTCTCCAGCCGAATTTCGCCTCATTTTTTAGGAGCTTGAAGAAAGGTAGGGCTTTTTCTGCCGACTTTGGTAAAAACCTAGTTAAGGCTGCCAGACGACCTGTGAGCTGTTGGATTTTTTTTGTTTTCTGGTTGCTTCATCTCGAGGACTACCTTGCATCTGACTGAGTTGACTTCAATTCCCCTATTGGTGAGCATGAAGCCCAAGAACTTCCCAGCTGGTACCCCGAAAGCGCACTTGGCCGGGTTCAGTCTGATTTTTTGAGCTCTTAATTGCTCGAAAGTCTCTCTTAGGTCGGCTACATGTGTGGTTATATGCTTCGATTTGACGATCATGTCGTCGATGTATACTTCCAGGTTCCTTCCAATTTGATTCTGGAAGACACGATTCATCATCCTTTGGTAGGTCGCCCCGAAATTCTTGAGGCCGAACGGCATGACGTTGTAGCAGAAATTTCCCTTTTCCGAGATGAATGCGGTCTTCTCGTGGTCATTTGGGTGTAGTGGGATTTGATTATACCCGGAATACGCATCCATGAATGACAGTAGTTGAAATCCTGATGAATTATCAACTAGCTGATCTATATTAGGCATTAGATATGAGTCCTTTGGGCAGACCTTATTGAGGTCGGTGTAATCCACGCATATTCTCCACTTCCCGCTGGGTTTTTCCACCGTCACAATGTTGGAGAGCCATGTGGTGTATTGTATTTCCTTAATGAAGCTAGCTTCTAACAGCTCATCCACATGCTCATTTAAGGTCTGACGTCAGTCAGGACCTATTTTCCTCTTCTTTTGGGACACTAGTTTTGACCCGGGGTACATAGAAAGCTTGTGACAGTAAAAGGTTGGATCTATCCCTGGGATTTTCGATGCCTTCCATGCAAACACGTCGGTGTTCTCGTTGAGAAATGAGACCAGTGCCTTTTTTACTTCCATCTCCAGTCCTTTTCTGACCTTGGTGCAGCGTTTACTGTCTTCCCCAATGCTGACATCTTCCAGCTCTCCCTGGGGCTCTGGACGAGGTGCTTGGAGCTCCTCTCTCATGTCCAATTCGACCAAATTTACTTCGTTTCCACATGGGTGTATCGACTGGTCTCTGATGGAGGCTTTGCCTCCACTTTTAATTCTAGGGGGAGATGATGGCCCTCCATGATTGATCCTTAGTGTCTCATAGTATCATTCTCTAGACTTTTTCTGATCTCCTCTTATAGTGATGACCTCGTTCTTTGATCCCACCATCTTCAACGCTTGATGTTTGGTGGAAACTAACACGTCCCACTCATGGATCGTAGGTCGGCCAATGATCACATTGTAGGAAGACGACGCATCTACTACCACGAACCGAACCCTTCCAGCACGAAATGCTTCCTTTTTTCCCAAGGTCAGCTTCAGATCTATGTAGCTCTTTGGGGGAGATGGCTCTCCATTAAAGCCATCCAGCTCGGTGGTGCAGGGTTTCAAGTCTTGTTCATCCAAATTCATCCTTTGGAAAGCATTCCAAAAAAGTATGTCAGCTGAACTTCCATGATCAATGAAGATTCTCTTAACCCGGCAGTTAACTAGCACCCCGGTAATCACCAAGCCATCAGTATGTCCAGGTACGACCATTTCTAGGTCTTCCTGAGTAAAGAACAACCTTGGGGGAGCAGAATTGCTGGCTCTTCCTTTGAAGGTCGGTCTGTCTCTGATCGACATGACCTCTTTTAGGTATTTTCTTCTTGCATTTGCAGTGTCGCCTCCTCCACCCAGGGCTCCACTTATCACATTGCAATCGAATTCGGCTTCTTGGAACTCCTCATCTTTGTCTTCGACCTTTTTGCCCTTTTAAGGGCGGTCTTGTTCCCGTTCTTTCCTCTCCTCCCTCTTCGGGCTGTGACTTCTGCTCCGGCTTCTTTGCCTTCGCTTATTATTCTTCTTGCCCTGAGTTCGGATAATGTATTGCTTCAATTTCCCCTCTCAGATATGCTTCTCAATAGCATCTCAGAGATCCCAACAGTCATCCCTGATGTGACCATTCTGGTCATGGAAAGCACAATATTTGTTTCTGTCCAATCCGCTCTTGCTCTTGAGAGGTCGAGGTCTTTCGACATTACGCATCTCGGTTTGAGCCACTTTTCTCCATATCTGAGATCTGGACATGTTCAATGGTGTGTAACTGTTATACTTGGTCCTTGGAGATTGATCATCCGATCTCTTTTCATGAATGTCGTTTTCTTTCTTCGATCCCCGCTGATCCCGATCTTTGTTTTTCTTACTTGGGCTTCGGCGATTCTAACTCCGTCCTCTGGACTCTCGATAAGCATTCTGCATGTCTTCAACGTCAATATACTTGTCCGACCTTCATCGGAACTCCTCCAGATCGTTGACCGGGTTCTTACAGATGGATTTTGCGAGTGGAGAATTGCCATCTAATCCCGAGATGATCAAATGCAGATGCACCAGTTCAATTAGGTTCTGAACCTTGAGAGCGGCATCTTGGAATCGATCGAGGTACTTCCTCAATGATTCATTCTCCTTTTGACGAATTCTTCCTAAGGCATAGGCCGGCATCGGATATGCCTTACTCGTGGAAAAATTCAAACGAAAAGTTTGAGCCAGGTCCTCAAACGAATCAATCAAGCTCCTGGGGAGCCTTGTTATCCATGCCATCACTTGTCCTGTCAACGTCGTCGCAAAGATTCGGGCCTTAATAGGTCCAGTTATTCCGTTGAACAGCATCTCGGTCTTGAACGCCTCCAAATGGGCGTCTGGGTCCTGACTTCCGTCATAGGGAGGTATCTTGGCACTCTTGAACCTCGACGGTATTGCCAAGTTCATGAGCCTCTCAGTGAATGGGCTATCATTAGCCTCCTCATCATGGAGATAGTTATCTCCTTAGTTGTTGGCCGGTCCTCCGCCTTCTTGGTGGTTGCCATGGTGTGGATTTTGCACATTTTCAGCTGCTGAGTTCTGATGTTGCAGCCCTTCATGTTGAGTTGGGCCTGCTCTTGTATCTCCGCCTTCATGGGCTGCTCTTCCAGCTCGGCCTTCAGCGTTTTGGTTTAGTAGCTCGACCTCAAATGCCTCCATCCTCTGGGCATTGAGCCTTTGTTGAGCCAGGAAACAGTTCTCCATTTCTTGCATCCTTTGCAGGATTGCATTCATGGCTGTAGTAACCACGTGATCCTCAGTTCTGGACTGGTTATTCGGTGGACGTGCAAACTCCACCGCTGCATTGGTTCTGGTTGCGACATGTGGTTTCTCGGTGTTGGCCTCTCCGACTTGCACCTCCACCAAGATCGGATTAGCGAGCTCTTGGAGACACTCTAGGGCGGTCTGGTGCGACAGTTGTTGAGGCTGAACGTTGCTGGATATCGCACGAGTGTTTGTCATTGTGGAGATGGGAATCGAAATTTATCGTCCCCACAAACGGCACCAATGTTAGGTCCTGGAAAGACCGTATTGCTATACCGTATAGTATGCGCTCAGAGATACTGTAGAATCTGGTATGTATTTGGCTTGTAGCCAATATCCCAATCACTGCGCACAAGCAATAGGCTTATAGCCAAGACGTGGGTGTGTGCACAGTGTTGGCAGCAATAGTAAATAGGTTAAAAAGTGTATACCTGGGGTCTTTTGCCTCTTATTTATAAGGGTTACCTCTAGGGTTTGTGTAGAACTCCCAGTTGTAGTAGGACTCAGCTTCTTTTCTGTTGAGATCAGGCTCCTATCCTGAGTATCTTTGCTATTTAATATTGTTAGGATAACTGAATCTTTATCCTTTGATGATCTTTTGAGTAGGTAGTTAGGATATGATATATATCCATAACACATGGTATTACATCATTGCCACGCTGAAAATAACAGATCGTACACATTTGAAGCTCTCATTCGCGAAGAAAACCTTGTTCTTTGAAAACAATGTCATTATCATTGCTCATTTCCCCGAATGATAATTTTGTCCATTTAAAGAAGGAGTGACAAGAACTAATGTGTAACATCCCAAATAATTATTAAGAAAAACTTTGTCTCTATATTAAGGAAACCTTTATGATTAGTATGAACCTAATTAAATTTTCAAGTATTATTATATTAAGGAAAGAGCAACATAATATAGTGAAAAGTGAATAGTATTGAAATTGTTATACTGCTGGAAATAGTTCTTTTCAATTGATTTTGTCTCTGAACTGATAAAGTAACATGATTAATATTTTTCATGTTATAGAAAATAATTTTATATCTCCTGTACATATAAAAAAGTGTGGTATCTATGTGAAGTGATGTGAAAATAAAAAAAAAATTAGTCTTACATATTTATATGTGTGTGTAGAAAATACAATTATCTCTTATAAAAGAAACACCAATCTCATAGTAATAATATATTTATCCATTTTCTAACTTTTTCCACAAGAGAATTTATAAAGTCATACTAAATTTTAAATGATTCTCTCCAGTAATGTTTTTATTCTTACAGTGAAATAGTGAACGATTAGTTTACCGAAAAAAAAGAAAAGAAATAGTGAACGATTATGTGATTGGGTGAATGCTAATCATGACTCACAAACAACTCATATCTTGGACTATATATATAGGCCTCTTATTTATAAGTGAGGGGAAAATCTGGAAAATCCTGTACTTGGTCACTCGGTAGTTGTATATTCTTTCTTATCGGGCTTGGGTCCAACAAATCCACGAGACGCTTCTATCAAAAGGTTGATTGCGACTTGCGAGGAAGTCTTGCTAGATATTTGACACTTAAAAATTTATTTTTTTTAAACTGAATAAATAAGGTATATTTATTCTTAAATTTTTTAATAAATTAACATTATAATGTATTCTAAGGGTCAAGTTAGCTACATTTTGTCCTTTCCATTAAGTTAAAATGTAACAGGCTAAGTTTTCAGCCTGGGGTAGCCTTTACCTTGTACCAATAGCCCAACCTTCAATGCAGTCGTGCTTATTGGTTTCTCTCTTTGACATGAATATAAGGCCCTTCCAATTCCCTAATAAATTCTGTATTTTTTGGCAACGGCATTTTCTATTAATGAAAGATAGACACCGTCTTTTTCCAATTTTGCTTTTCCATCTAATTTAGCAACTAACTTGCTTCATGCATCATATCTGAGGGCACACATTTCAGTGTTGTGGGACACGTGGTAGATAAAGAATCGCCCTACAGTGCTCTTGACGAGGAGTGATGCTAAATCGTTAATGCATGTCTCAGAGTCCAGAGTTCCACGTGTCAGAATCACAGTATTTGGAGTTCAAAAAGACAAAAAAGCTGATTTTATTATTTACTACGTGGCAGAAGCAAGGCTCTCTACGATGAAAATAAATGTCACTGGTGGAGTGGTGGTTGCTTCTGATATTGGGACTATGGGAGAAGGTTTTTTGTGGGTCGATCACGGTAGTCTCTTCCAAAAAAAGAAAGAAGAAGAAGATATTGAAGAAAAAAAAATTAAAAAGATAAAAATAGAAATGGAAGAAATTTTTTCTTTTATAATAAAAGGATAACTGAATAAGTAATGGGCCTAGAGCATATTAAATTTTTCTCGGGATTGTTGGTTTTTTATCCCTTCAAACCCCCTATGTAGCACCAATATGACACGTGACACGACACGACACGACACTCCGACACGTCAATCCTAAAAATTTATGGATTTCGACACGTTGGGACACGTTTTAATATTAAATAATATTTTTAATTTATATAGTGTATATTTCATTTAATATTTAATAATTTAACAAAAAAATAAAACTAAATTAATAATACCCATCAACACGTTATAAAGATGGAAGCTTTAATAAAAAAAATAAGAACTGGGATGAGAGAGATATAATATCAGATAGAGAGATCAAATCATATTAGAGAGAGATCAGAGAGAAGAAGATACAACAAGAGCGTGATAAGAATTGACAACAATGATGCTGAGATGATCTCTTATCTGAAAAAAGACAAAAAAATAAAATTGATATGATCAGGTGGAAGCTTTATTAATATATTTTAACTTTTAAGTAAACTAAATTTAAAAAAAAAAAATTAAATTTTTTTTTACGAAAATGCCATTTGATCGTGTCGGACACAGTCAAATTCGCGTGTCGGAATGGTCAACTTATCAGAAAAAGTCAACCGCGTGTCCGTGTCGGAGCGTGTCGCTGTGTCGGACCCGACTCTTCCTTTTTTTACAAGTGTGCGTGCTTCCTTGCAAACCTCAATATGCAATGCAATGAATGGAGTGAAACAAGACAAAACGATGTTTCTGTTTCTGTTTCAGTTACTGGTACAGGGGAATAAGCCCATATACCATTGAGTGACGAGATCACCAACCTTTGTAGGTTCGACTCTATTCATTAGCAAAGAGCATCAGAAATAATGCTCTTTTTCTTTCTCTTTTTTTTTTACTTTATCTTTTAAAAACTATTTTAAGGCAACCACAATGGAGTGGGAAGAAAGTAAGTTTTCTTTTGCTAAATGAAGAATAACGTGGACACGTTTACTTGCCGAGCTAGCTATGGAATTCTCGATTTAACAACTTGTATTGGGATGATTGTTTACCCTCTCACTTGTAATAAAAACTACCCTTAGAAGGCAAGCTCATTGTTGACCGACGTTTAAGGTGTAGCCTGTAAAATAAGGTCCACCATTAGTCCTTATCTTTATAGCCATAAATAATGTATGAAAAATTAGCTATATAATGACTGATATATATTATTCAGAACTTAAGTAACACTTAAAAGTTGTAATTTTCAAAATAAGTTTTCTTTAAAAAAAATTGTCTGCCAAAATGGTACTTGACAATTGCTTCCTTTTGCAAAAGAGTTCATCGTCCCCTTTTTACAAAGTTAAACCAACTCTTGAACTCAATTTTCATAGTTTAAACACTAATATATGACCAATGCTGTATCCTTTAAGTACTCATTGGAACATTATTTACTGTTCTTTCACCCTAGTGTTCATCTATAAAGGAGAAAAGGAACTACTGAATAACGGTCTCGAGGAATGATTAAACCATTATAATACTGTATACTACGAGGCTTTGCTGTGTTAAAAGAAAAGAGTATCTCAGTCATGCGCATTGTAAACATTTGGTAATGTATAGAGTCAGAAATGACTACAAATGATCCAATCATATTATGCCATGAAATCCTTTATGTGACATGAAGCTAGCTAGCTAGATTAATGTTAATATAACGAAACCTCTTAAATCATTCAAGCTCAAAGTCTCAAACCAAAGATTAGCGGGCATTTTAACCTAGAAATATCGTATCACTTTGCAGAGAAAACCTATATCCATGTGTAAACGAACCTACCTACTTTTGGATAGTTGTGATTTTTCCTATTGTATACTATGGAGAAGAAAGGCAAAGCATTTAAGCAGCAGTCTGCATAACTACTAGGTGGCAAGTGATTGGAAATGCTTACTGTTCACTCCAACAGAAGAGGACCACTACTCAAACATTAAAAATAACATATCTTAAATGTTGATTATCTATTCATAAAGAATAAGAATAAATATTTCCATTGTAGGACGTCAAAAATCATATCATTTATCAAATGATAATAGCTTAGTTAACGCATGAGAATTGAGCAAGAAAAAATGAGAGTGTATGTTCGATCTTCTTCAATATTATCTTTGAGAGAGATTTAAAGTCTTAAATTTAATCTAGCTTTGAATAAAATTGACTCCCAAGAAGGATATTTATAAAAATAAATAAATATCATATGACCCTAAAATAGCACATGAAGGCCATGCAGGGTAAAACAGCCCATACCAAACATTCTTCCAACAAAAGCAGTCCTATATTTTACCAAAACCTTGCACGAAATTAATTTATATATCATACGTGTCCACACATGATTGACCCAATCATCTGTGCCGTTCGTTCCCACTCCTAAATATAGTTTTATACCCTTTCTCCCGCTCTTAAGCATACCTTTCATATTAACTTCCTCCATTTTCTCTTTGCCAACCAACCAACCAACAAAATCTCCATTTTTGTTTTTCTTTCATTTTTTTTTTCTTCCCTTTGTTCTCCCGTTTGCATTTCCCGGCGACAGTTCAAAAAAGAAAAAAAGAAAACATTTTATGCTGCTCAGGGTCCTGGACCGGTGAATGAGGAATAGAAAATAGTCAAATAGACATAAATTACAACATGGCTAAGAGAGAGGAGAAGGAAAACACCATGATTCCACGTCCACAATTCATGTCGTCGGAGCCAAGAATGTCGTCGACGACGGAACCCTTAACGGACGACGAATACACCATGAGAAGCAGCAGCGCCGCATCCCCTATGAGCCCGTATTACTACGTCGAGACAAGCAGGTTAAGCGGGGAAGGTTCACCAATGATGATGTCACCATGGAACCAAACCACCAACTCACCCTTCGCAAAGCCACAGTGGTCTCAACACGAAGAAACAGCTCGACAGAATGCCCTAATCGGTTCTCTTGTTCGTGAAGAGGGACATATCTATTCCCTAGCCGCAAGCGGTGACTTATTGTACACTGGATCCGACAGCAAGAACATTCGTGTCTGGAAGAACCTCAAAGAGTATTGTGGATTCAAATCAAACAGTGGTTTGGTCAAAGCCATTATAATCTCTGGTCAGAAAATCTTCACCGGTCATCAGGACGGTAAAATCAGAGTGTGGAAGGTATCTCCCAAGAACCCTAGCGTTCACAAACGCGCTGGAACATTACCAACCTTAAAAGACATCTTCAAGAGTTCAATCAAACCCAGAAACTACGTTGAGGTTCGGAAAAACCGCACGGCTCTGTGGATCAAACATTCCGACGCCGTTTCGTGTCTCAGCCTCTCAAACGACAAAACGTATCTGTACTCTGCTTCGTGGGACAGGACAATAAAAATATGGAGGATCTCCGATTCGAAATGCTTGGAATCAATCGCCGCACACACCGACGCCGTGAACTCCGTCGTGTGCGGCGACGAGGGGTTGGTTTTCTCCGGGTCGGCGGACGGGACGGTGAAGGTGTGGAGGAGGGAGGCGCGTGGGAAGGGGGCGAAGCACGAGGCGGTGAAGACGTTGCTGAAACAGGAATGCGCGGTGACGGCGCTTGCGGTGAACGCGCCGGGTTCGATTGTGTATTGCGGTGACTCTGATGGGTTGGTTAATTTCTGGGAACGTGAGAAGCAGTTCGCGCATGGTGGGGTCCTTAGGGGTCACAAGCTTGCGGTTCTGTGTCTCGCTGCTGCGGGTAACTTGGTTTTTAGTGGTTCGGCTGATAAGACCATATGCGTGTGGAAAAGGGATGGGGTTATCCACACGTGCGTGTCGATGCTGACGGGGCACGAAGGTCCGGTGAAGTGTCTGGCGGTTGAGGAGGATAGGGACACGGCGGCGAGGGGTGATAAACGGTGGATTTTGTATAGTGGCAGTTTGGATAAATCGGTTAAGGTGTGGAGCGTTTCTGAGATGGATCAGGTACAGCACCGCCGCACGCCTTCTGATGCGGACTCCTTACCTTCGGAATCTGATGGGAGCTTCTCTTCGGGCCGGGCCAGCCGCAACAGGAGGAACTGAAACTATCTGGGCCTGGCCTTTTCCGATTTGCTGCCACGTGTTATTACGGGATGATTTATATTTATTTTTTTTAATTTTCTTTTTTGTGTTCGTTGACTATGATTGATCGTTTCTGCAAGATTGCGACAGATATGATCGAAGATATTTATGTAATGTTAATGTATTTTGTGTAATAATGGTTTTGAGGTAGTTAAACAGTTAACGTTGGGGCCTGGGTGGGAGGGTCAGATTCAGATACCTCAAGCTTTTCTTGAATTGAAAATCAGGTTTTGTGAATGCCAACGATCATGATTCACAAGTCATGAATTAATGCCCCTTTCATTTTTTTGGATGTATTTTTTTTTTTTTTTTTTTTTTTGTAATATTAATATAAACTTAAGTTAATGGTGACTGTTATACGAAACAATATATTTAATGTTTTAGTTGTAATTAAAAATTATAAATATATCATCAAACATGTGAATCGATTGATAAAATTTTAATAAACAGTGATTTTGAGTTCGAATTTTTAGGGAATGCAATTATATTGAAACATATAGTTCCACTTGCCTTGAATAAAATTAATTGAGTAATTGATTATTAGATAAATAATATCCAAAAAAAATTATAAACATAAACAGATGATCAAACATAATGATAAATATGTTATTATGTATAATATTATCAACAAACCTGAGTCTATAATAAATTTAGTAATATAACTATTTATTTTTTTGCTCTTAGATATGCAGGCCATATCATGAGATATTCAAAGTTTCAAACATAGCATCGATGCAGACTCTTTAGAAAGAGTTATTATACAGAATTTTATTTAAGAACGTGAGATATCATCAGGTGTTACTGGGTATCCGTTAGACGGTCGTTGAAGCTGAGCAGTTGGTTATTTTTTGCTTTGTCTCTAACTAATCCGATCTGTTTATGATCTGCGCGATCTTTTGCGGGTATTTTTAATATCAACTTACAATATATAGAGTGAGACATTGGGAATTTTTATTTGGATTCATAACAAGAAGGAAGGGGTTTGTTAGGGACCCATATAAGGGGCTCATTGATTGACAGGTCCAACAAGGGACAATCTAAGATCTAAATCAAGCATAATTATGGAAGGATATCCATCAAAGATACCAATCCTAATACGACAGCATGGCGAACGTGTAAGCAATTTAATCAGTAATTCATGATTCATGTTCAACAGTAATAGTTAAGAACATGATACAGGATCTTTAGAATTTATGAGTTTCACATAAGAGTGTACCTTTCTCCATTAGTGCGGAAGAACTTTGATGGTGAAATCCTTTCTCAGAGTCTTAACCCTTCACTATTCTTGTATCTTCTTTAACAGGAATTTAATACAACTCTTCTGGGTAGACAATGATGGAGAGCGTTTCTGTAAACCACCTTTTATCAGAAAATCTCCTTTCTCTGAACGTAACTGAACCTGTCACCAGTTACTCCTTTATAAAACTTCCCTTGATAGTCAAAACGTCAATCACCATTAATGCAAAACGTTACCATAATGCAAAACGTTAAAACGTCAATTACCATTAATGCAAAACGTCAATTACCATAAAGCCTCTTTTATTATTAATTAAACCGATTGACACACGTTACACATGAGACACAAATAGTTTTACATTCTCCCACTTGGCTCATGTCATAAGGTGTCCCTTCATGATTTAATTAAAATTCACTATAATGCGCATTTACTAGGCTAAAGGTTCCATACATTGACGTCATCATAATTCATTATTAGAAATAAAATCAACATGAGTCATGGCGGTTGTATGCTATCAAGTCGGCATAGTCCCTTCCATGTACTAATATATTGACTCTTCTTCCTAACATGATACTTTAATAGGAAGTACACATTATGTCCAACAATAATGTCTTCATAACGGACCACAAATATTTTCAATATCATCACATATACTTGCATGCATACATAAATTGAAAACAAGACAATATCAGAAACATATATTCATCAATGAGCTCAGAGTGTCAATACTTTAATACATAACTATAATTTTTATCATTCATTAGCTGACATAATGCCCATTCTACATACATGACCAGTAAATGTCTTGGGCGGTAATCCCTTCGTCAAGGGATCAGTTATCATAAGATCGGTGCTAATATGCTCTATAGACACTCTTTGTTTCTGAACCTCTTCTTTAACGGCAAAGTACTTTAATTCCATATGTTTAGCACCTTTGGAATATTTGTCGTTTTTAGAAAAGAAGACAGCTGCAGAATTATCACAATAAATTTTCAGCGGCTTTGCAATATTGTCGACCAATCCAAGCCCTGAAATAAAGTTTCGTAGCCATTTAGCCTGAATCGTGGCTTCAAAGCATGCCACAAATTCAGCTTCCATAGTGGACGCAGCTAGTACAGTCTGCTTTGCACTTTTCCATGATATAGCTCCTTCAGCTAAAAAATACAGGTAACCACATGTAGATTTTCTTGTGTCTACGCATCCTGCAAAATCCGAATCTGTGTATCCAATAACTTCAAAGTTGCTAGACCTTCTATAAGTAAGCATGTGACCTTTAGTTCCTTGCAAATATCTCAGAACTTTCTTTGCTGCTTTCCAGTGATCCATACCGGGATTACTTTGGTATCTACCCAACATCCCAACTGCAAAGCTAATATCTGGTCTCGTACAAGTCTGAGCATACATTAAACTCCCAACTAATGATGCATACGGAATTGCTTCCATTTCTTTTCGTTCCAATTCACTTTTAGGACATTGTAAGAGATTAAACTTATCTCCTTTCTGAATTGGAACTGGAGACGATGAGCAGTTTTCCATTCTGAATCTCTCTAGAACTTTATTAATATATGCTTTCTGAGACAAACCTAACAGTCCTTGTGATCTATCACGGATTATTTCTATTCCTATCACATAAGCTGCCTCACCCATATCTTTCATTTCAAAGTTACTAGAGAGAAACTTCTTAGTCTCAGTTAAAAGACCAAGATCGTTAGTTGCAAGCAAAATATCATCAACATACAGAACCAATAAGATGAACTTGCTCCCACTGATCTTCAGATATATACATCGATCAACGATGTTTTCTTTAAATCCAAAGGAAACAACAGTATCATTAAATTTAAGATACCATTGCCGTGAAGCTTATTTAAGTCCGTATATTGACTTCTTAAGTTTGCACACCATGTGCTCTTTACCCTTTTCTATGAACCCCATTGGTTGGTCCATGTACACATCTTCATCTAAATTTCCATTTAGAAAGGCGGTTTTCACATCCATTTGGTGTAACTCTAGATCATAATGAGCCACCAATGCCATAATAATTCTTAAAGAATCCTTCTTTGAAACTGGTGAAAAAGTTTCTTTATAGTCAATGCCATCTTTCTGAGTGAATCCTTTTGCAACTAGTCTGGCCTTGTGACGTTCCAAGTTACCATGAGAGTCACATTTGGTCTTAAAGACCCATTTACAACCAACTCTCTTGCACCCTTCTGGTAACTCAACAAGATCCCAGACCTTATTCTGTTCCATAGATTTCAACTCATCTTTCATAGCATCTAACCATTTATCACCATTTTCTCCATTCATGGCTTGTGAAAACGTTACTGGATCATCCTGAATACCCATGTCAAATTCAGACTCTTGTAGATATACCACATAATCATTAGAAATAGCAGATCTCCTTTCTCTTTGAGATCTTCTTAATGCTATTTGTTGTGGTTCTTCTACTATGGGTTCATTCGGTTCATCAACAATGATTTCTTCATGAATAGTGGGATCATTAACTTGTCCTTCATTATTATTGATTGGTTCAATAGCATAAGGAACAATAACTTTACTAGAGCTACAAGGTAATGGAACTTGTACTCTCACTTCATGAATATCCACTTTACGTGGTGTTTCACTCCCACTAACTTCACCATTCTCAATGAACCTTGCATTTCCAGATTCAATAATCCTTGTAGTATGATAAGGACAGTAAAATCTATACCCTTTCGATTTTTCTGGATAACCAATGAAATAACCATTGATTGTCCTTGCATCCAGTTTCTTTTCTTGCGGATTGTAGTATCTAATCTTTGCCTGACAACCCCAAACATGCAGGTGTCTTATACTAGGTTTCCTTCCAGTCCAAAGTTCAAAAGGAGTCTTTGGAACTGACTTACTAGGAACCCTATTCAATACGTACATGGCAGTTTTTAGAGCATAAGTCCACAATGAAACAGGTAAAGAAGAATTACTTAACATACTCCTAACCATATCCAGTAAGGTCCTATTACGCCTTTCTGATACACCATTATGTTGCGGTGTACCGGGCATTGTGTATTGAGCACAAATACCACGCTTTTCCAGAAATTTAGCAAATGGGCCCGGATGTTGTCCACTTTCATCATACCTTCCATAATATTCACCACCCCTATCAGACCTGACAATCTTCACCTTTCTGTCTAATTGCCTTTCAACTTCATTAATATAAATCTCCAAAGCATTTGCAGCTTGAGACTTATCATGCAGCAAATAGACATAACCATAACGTGAATAATCATCAATGAAAGTGATAAAATATTTTTCTTTATTTAAAGCATTAACATCAAACGGACCACATACATCAGTGTGTATAATTTCAAGAAGCTGAGTGCTCCTTGTGGCTCCTTTCTTTATGTGTTTTGTTTGTTTTCCTTTAATACAATCCACACAAATATTTAAATCAGTAAAGTCTAAATCTGGAAGGATTTCATTATTTACTAATCTTTTCATCCTTTCTTTGGAAATGTGTCCCAAACGTTTGTGCCACAAGTAAGCAGAACATTCATTAATTAAGGCACGTTTAGTACCAACATTATGATGCAGAGTCATAAGTGTTTCAGCATAAAGATTATCAAGACATAATTTATATAATCCATCACATAAAGTACCATTACCAATCAAATGATTGTGCTTGTACAAACTGAAACTACCACTACCAAATTTAAAAGAGTATCCAGCAACATCATGTTTGGAAATTGAA